AGTGCTGTTTGGAAATGTGTTCACACTGCTGTTCAGGTTGCCAGCATTGCCTCCCTTTTCTCCTCTATGAMGTGCATCCACTGAGTCAGCCCCTCATCCCCTCTCCACTTGGGCACAGGAACCTGGGGAAGATCCCCCTGCATCCCACCAGTGGAGCCCATCGTCCCCCGAGGGCTGAACTCCTGCAGCAGTGGCGCTAGAAGGTTGGATGTTGTGCCTTCTGGCCACCGTCCCGTGTCCCCTCCCGTGTCCCCTATCGCTCCTCGGCAGGCGCAGACTCCTGGAGAATGAGCCATTGTTCCCCAGCCCTGCAGCCTCTTCCTGTCCCTGTAGGGCTGTGAGACAAACAAAAGCAGAGCCAGACGCCATGGGGAGGAGGCTGGATCTGYTCCACTCCTCCAGATCCCGCAGTAACCCCACAGGCGGGCAGACGGATGCCTGCCTTGGGGGAATGGGCAGGGACACCCCTATTTTTAGCTGCTTCTGCATCCCCTTCCTTCCGTGGGCCAAAAATACATGGGCTGGATGGACAGGCAAAGTCATCAGGATTAAAGAGTTGTCCAGGCCTTGGGTCCAACCACTCCCCTGGCTTTCACCTCTTCCCTTTGACCAGAAAGTATTCCCCAAGCATGGTCTCCCACTCCCAACATGGATGACTTAACTCTTCATCCCCATACCGCATTCCCAATACCTCCATATTCTCTCTCTGTACATTGTACCCTTCCTCATCCCCGCATCCCACTCCTCCTCTGCTCTATGGATGCATCTCCCATTCCTTGATGGTCCCCTYTGCCATGCCACACCAGCCCTGGGAGCCTACTCCTTCCCTTGAAATCCCCCAGCTCCTCCTTTCCCCAAAACACCTTTCTGCATCTCCTCATGCAATTCATTTCCAAAAAGCTCTTTCCTCCCAAAGACCCAGAGTTTCCTGCTCCTCGCCCCCATCCCCTCCTTCCCCACTGCATCCCTCCTACTCTCGCTTTCTCCCCCTTTCTCTCCCCAGCCAAACAATTTCCATCCCAGCTCCTTCCAGCCTGCACAGACTATAAACTCTGTAGATGTGCTCCCTCTCCTTGTCCTGCCAAGGGAACATATTGGCAGGAGGGCAAAGAGATTCCCAGATGCCCCTGCACACAGAGAGCTGCTTCTCCAAGCACGAAATTGATATCTAAGCCCTCCYCCCACTCCCTCCTGCATGGACTTTTATAGGGTCTATGAAAAAGAACTGGAGAATCAAGTGTGGGGCTGTTCTGGGGAGATGGAGTCTACAAATATAAATATATGTATCTTTATATTTACATCTCCTTTCCTAGTACACAGAATCAYAGAAGAGTTTCCAGGCCACAGGCAGCTGTTCCTGGATTACTTCTGGTTTATGCAACATCCTCCCTCCCTCTCCCAGCTATGTCCCAAACCCCGCTTCTCTCTGCCCATGTAAAACTTGGAGGGAGAGCATAGATCAGGGTGTGTCCTGGGGTCTGTCCCTCCATCCTCTCACCCACAACACCCCACAACACTCACAACAGCCCTACAGCACCCCACATCCCTGGCAAGAAGACAGGACTAGCATACCAGGAGGAAGCTGGGGAGTGTGGGGGGAGGAAGAAAGATGAAAATATTTGGGATAGGAGGAGATGGGCAGAGGGAGGGAGGCAGCCCGCCAACAAGCCTGGGAACTCATCCGTACCTCCTCCTGGGCTTTGGCAAACCCCGAAGCTTTGAGTTCCCAGCCCTGCTCCCAGGGGAAAAGCACACACTCCCCGCTTTGCAAATCCCACAAGCAGGACGTGGTCATTCCCATTCCTTCGGCCTCCTACTGCTCCAGGGGARGGAAGCTGGAGGAATTGGTGGGGGAAATCAGAAATGGGTGTTTACAGGGGTTGATCCACCCCACTTCTAGCATGAGTGGGTCTAAGCCAACATTGCTGCCTGTCTGGTGGTGCTCACCACAACCCCCCCCACTTTCCTTCCCCAGTGCAACACTGGGATTCTGGGAACCGGACTGCCCCAATCCCTTTCTCTGCTTATCTCAAAGGCAACAGCCACAGTGGGGGGGGGGGGAGGGCTCACAGCACAGGCCCAAAAATAGGTTGGGCAAGCACACATCTGGGGGTTCAGCCACAGGAGAAGTCACCCCAGTGGAGAAACTATAGGGCATGAGGGACCCAGTGCCTACAGAGCCAGAGCTGGCATCAGACCAGGGATGCTCTTGGCAAGACGCTGGGTGCTTAYACCTATCCCTTGCCCCAGGGTGTCCTCTCCTGACACCACTCTGGCTTGCTCACCCTAAAACCGGCTTTGCCTTCTCCTCATCCCCGGGGCAGTGAGACATGGACTGAAGGCAGCACTGAGAGCCATGGCTGGGAACAGGGAGGAGGGACCAGTCAGCAGGGGTGAGGGGAGCTGGATGAGGCCATACCAGGGAGTGTGATGGGGCAAGGGAGCTCTCTGCACCCYCATCCCTAGCATGGCAGGATTCTGTCCCCACCCCACTGCTGGCAGTAATTCCCATATCCATGTGGTGTGCACCCTCACAGCCCAAGAGGAGAATGGAAACATCTGGAAGTCACCTGCAAACGAGCAACACATTCAGTTAACGAGGAAATATGAGCTGGAGACCCTGGGCAGCAACAGGATATCTGCTTCTCGTGCGCTGAGCAAGGCACCCCCTTTCCTACTGAGCCCCCTGCCTGCCCTCCATCTTCAGGAAATTTCCAGCACTCTTGTGCTCTTGGAGCTCCATCTCTGGCAATTTTCCAGGGAAAGAGGGCAAGTGGGAAGGCAGCAAACAGAAATGACRGGGACTATAAACCCAGGGGTGAGCACCCTCTCCACAAGCTGGAGTGCCCTCATCACCTTCCCTTGGCTTGCCCCAGGCACTGGAGAAAGGGAGTAGGGGCATTTTCCTTTACCAGAGGTGAGTCCTGTATCAGCCTCCTTCAGGCGTTGGCTCTTGCGAGCAGGAGRCACTGCAAAGTGAGATAAGATGAAGGACTGAGCACCAGGAAGTATGGGGTAAAGACTTCAGCCCCCCTACATCCGTCCATTGCTTTCTCCCTCCCCATCAGACTGAGCTACCCATAAGACCTCAGCCCCAAGTGGGAGGGATGAGTGCTAGGAAGATGAGGGGATGCAATTTGCACAGCCCTGTCTTTGATGTTGTGGTAGTCACAGTCAATCCTCATTTGGGAAAGCTGCTGGGCTACTTGTCAGCTCCATGATAAGCCCAGTGGCCGGTCTCTCTGTAATGATGAGACTGCCTGGGGCTCAGGGTTACAGATGAGATGAAAGATTGGGGTGGCTGAAAGTAAATGAGGCAGCTAGGCTGGGAGGGACCCGGGCCTAAGCTCCTGCCCCAGGGCACCCATGGGTGGTACATGACTCTGCAGCACTGTCCAGCCCCACAGCCACCTCTCATTTGTCAGCCGAGGTGGACAAATAGGCTGAGAAGCAGGATTGTATGCACTGACTTTCCAGGCTGCTGTATATGAAAGAAGGGAGTATCGRTGTAACTGAGCAGCCAGAGGCCAGGATGAGTACTGAGAGCCAGAGCTGGTACCTACCCTCAACCTGGGGGACTCCAAAGCACTTCACTGCTAGACCTAGAAGTACAAAAGTCAGAGCTTGGCTGGCATGGCTGCAAAATCACGGGTTTGGGGAAGGGTACTGAGGAGAAGGTATTTCCAGATGCTTTCCTGGAAATGAAGCCTATCCTGGCCCGGAGCACAAAGGTGCTCAGAGCAGGAGTGAGGAGGAGGAGGAGGAGGCAGTGGAGAGCCGGCCGCCCTGCAAGAAGCGGCACGTGGCCCCTATCCCATCTGGAAAAGATTTGTTCTGCATTCCCCAACGGAGGCGGCTACCATTGCCCRGGCTGCACTCCCTGACACAGCCTCTGCGGCAGGGCACGGGATGGGGGCAAGAGGGAGCCCCTCAGGCAGGGTAGGGGGAAGTGCACGGTCAGGCCATGCAAAGAAAGGGTCTTTTCCTGCCTCTCCCAGCACTCCCATTAGCTTCCATTGAGCAGGACCTAGGGGAAGGAATGCCTACCATACCTCTTGCAAGCCAGAAGGATGCATGTCATGATTTCTCATCCTTTCCTCACTGATGACAGTGCTCATCCCCCATCAGAGCTAAGCTCCCATCTTCCTCCAAGATGCAGACCCGCTTAAAGTACCACCAACATGCACAGTCCATACGATTTTAATTCCTAATGGAAAAAAAACTTACACAGAAGGCAGMAAGCCCAACTTCCATTTCACAGAAAAGAAGCCTGAGAACAATACCAAACCCTACTACAACTACATAGCAAACCTCCCAGCAATAAGGGAGGTTTGCTAAACCCATCCAACCTTCTCCTCCACCCCAGCATGAGCCACCCAAGCCCAGTGAACGGCCAGGCTCCATTTTGACATCTCTGCAGACATCTTGTCATCCCTTCAGCCAAGCCCTAACCCCAACAAGTCTTGTCTCGCCTTCACTAGCAGAGACACCTCCCTTCTGCTCAACAGGGCTCTGAGTAGGTGCTTGTGCCTGGCCAGGTGGTCCCCAGCAGAGTGACTGAGCCAAACCTGAAGGCCATGATGGTCACCAGTGGCTCTGGTGATGCTACACGCACCAGCAGTTTGCCCCTTATTGGCACCAATAGCGTCTTCTGTCCTGTGACCATCAAGGGGTAGCACACAATGCCAGAGGGATGTGGTGCCCCATGTGTGGGCAGAAACTCTGTCGGGTGCCACCAAAGAGCACCCCCTTGCATTTATCCACCGCTGCCCCCTCACGCTGCTCTGACACCCTGTTGCTGCCGACATGATGCTTGTCCCGACACCGTAACGCTTGTCCTGACCCTGTAACAAATGCCAGCCTGGCCCATGTGGTCTTCAGGGAGGTTGTCATTCTGTTAATGCCCAACCCAATACTACCCACAGGTCCTTGTATGACCACCCGCCCCCAGAGCCCAGTCCTGACTGGAAGTGCTGCACCGCAGGCACTGGCGACTTCCTGCTCTCCAGCATGGGATGAGGTGACCGTGTGTGATACCTGAGGGGTCACACACGCACAGGGTTCAAACCCCTGTCCTTTGTCCCGCAGCCAGGCTCCTCTAACCAGGTTAGAGAGTAACCTGGCCTTTCCCTTCCCCCAAGCCCATTGTAGCAGGCACCCGGGRGCAGCAGGCAGCCAATGCCGGCAGACGGGAAATGGCACTGGGGAAGCGGGGAGGAGGAGGGGAACGGCAGAGAAGTTCCTGAAGTTTTCTGTCCTGGATAGTTGGAATAAATCTCATTTTCTCTGGTCTCCTTGCGGAGTCGAGGATTGGCTCGGCAGTGCTGCAGCCCGCCCTCCTCCTTCCCACGTCCCCTCCCCGCCAACTTCGCTCCCTCTCTCCCGTGGCATCAGGGCGTCAGCCTGGGAGAGCAAGCCGTGGGGGGACAGCAGTGAGAAAAAGAGGAGGACATGTCCCCCCTTTCTCCTCCGCTGCGTTCCGGAGAACAGCACCAGTAACCCGTGGAGCAAGTTACAGCAGCCTGCGGAGAATGTCTCGCAACTTTTCGTCTGGAGGACGGAGAAAAAAATAATAATCCTGGTTCGAAAGAGGTAAATCCCGAAAGTTTTGATTCATCAGTTTGTAGAGCTGGGGACAGGGGGATGTTGGGAGGAGAAGGAAAAGGGTGGAGAGGGTGTTTGAAGCGGGGAGAAGCGGGAGGGGTGGCAAGGCGATAGAGACGGGAAGGATGACGAAAAAGAAAGGGAGAAGAAGGCAGGAATGCAACAGGAAACTGGGAGTGAGGAGAGGGGAGACAGGACAGGGGGGAGAGGCGGGAAGGGAAGGGAAGGAAAGGAAAGGAAAAGGAGTGAGAAGAGGGTCCTATGGATGGGGGAAGGCAGCGGGATGCTTATCTCCCAACCCTGCTCTGGATATCCCTCAAAGCCCCACAGACTCTCGGCACCTCAATTTTGGGAGTATGGAGGAAGAAAGGGAGCTTTTTCCTAAGAGGGCAGGGAAGGGATGGCTAGAAACTGCCCACCTCCATAGCTTCAGCCTCCCTCTATGTCCCAGTATGTCTGCTTGGGAAAATATCCTTGTTATATGGAGATATCACTCTGTATATATATAGCAGCTGGCAGCACAGGAGTCAGATTTAGGCATCTGCCTCCTGCTTAGCTCTGCTCCGGGGAAGCCAAAAGAGGACCAACCCAACCAGCCGAGCCCCTTTCCCCCTCCCCCAAAAGCCTGACCCTGCTGGCTTCTCCCATCCCAAAACAGTCACCCAATAGGGGAACCTCTGCCTCCCTTTCTTAAGGGAAAGGGAGGCTTTTCGTCACTCAGGAAGGCTGGGAAAGCCTTCCTGGCCACCCACAGCCATTTCCACCCGCTCTTCCTGCTGTTGAGACCACCCCAAACTTCTCACTCTCTTCTGGAGTATGTCCACTTTGAGGGAGGGAAGAGGCTGCTTTCAGCAGCTCTATCCAACTAGACATCTGGATTATTCCACACCCCCCCCCCCCCCCCCTTTCTGGTTTCCACTCTTCCCAGCAAGCAGAACGGCTCTGGCCATTCCCAGCTAGTGGAAAACCAGTGGTAACCAGCTGAACTTGGGGGGGAAATGGGGGAGGCCGGGCTGGGAGGAGGAGGTGCTGGCAGTGGGTCTTTGAAGGTGGGGGGCTTCACAGAGGAGGCATGGAGGGAACCTGGGAAGGGGAGGTYGTGATGGGCTGTGGGCTTCCTGTGTTGGGAACTGGTGAACGTGGAGGGCTGCCAGATGGAAGCGGTGGCACCGAACAGTGAGATGGCCAGGGAGAGGGGTCCCTTTGCCCAGTGGAGGAAAGGACAGCACATAGGTTACCCTTTGCCCGCAGAATCACGAGTTTCTTTGGCATGGAGGAGTCTGTTTGGGTGAAGAGGAGGCCTCAAAGGGGCAGGGAGTCACACCAGGGGCAGAAGGAAAGAAAAGAAAGGAAAAAGGAAAAACAGGCCTGCCAGAAACCTGACATCTAGGTAGGGTTGGGCACCAGCTGCTTCACTCCCTCCCTCCCTCCCTCTCTCCCTCTCTGCCTCTCTCCCTCCCTCTCTCCTCTCCCAGTGCCTGCTGCCTGCCAGCATGCAAGGAAAGACAGGGGCCGGGAGGAGCTGGCTTGCTTCCCTGTGGTGACCAAGAGACAAGGAAGGAGAAACACTTTCCTCCACCTCGCTCCCTCACTCAATAGTTGTCCAGACAGAGAGCAAGGGTATGCTGTCCTCCCACATCCCCCCTTTCCCTTGCCTCCCCACCCCATTCCAAGGTGTGATGTCCCCCATGGGGGTCTGCAGGGTAACTCGGTTGCGCAGGGGACTTGAGGTGGGGTAGGAGGTTCTACCCCACAAGGTAGCCCTGGCTGGTGCAGCACATGCTAAAGGACACAATTCCCACTTCTCAGGGAATTGTGCAGAGGAAAGGGAAAACTTGAGGGCTGTAACTCACCTAATCTCTTCTCCCAGGGTCACATACTTTACTGGGAGATTCTGGGGATAGCTCAAAAATATGGTTGCATCTCTCTTGTGGGGTCCCAAGACCTACCTTAGGATGCCCCCTAGTACTTTCCTCTGTACTCCAGGCGAGCCCTGACCCAATGGCTATGGGTGCCATAGCCAGAGACAGGAAATAGCTCCCCATTTGTCCCCTCACCCCAAATCTGCCACATGCCTGGTTTGTCCTGGCTGTGAGGCAGCACTGCATAGCCTCTGTGGGCGGGAGGAAGACATGAGCCGCACGAGCCATGGAGCTGGGGGCCAGCAGGAACCCAACCTGCCACCAGCCACTGCCACCCCAGGAGGCCACTGCCACCCCGGGGACGCAGCCAATGGTGCCGGGCACTGCTGGGGGAGGTTTGTTTTCCCTTCCCCAGTCATTAACCCCTGGCAGATAAGAGGGGCCCCGGGTGAGCAAACAAGGCCAAGGCAAAGCGAAAACACATCTAGCCAGGCAGGAAAGCAATTTCGTGTCCAGGATTCCCCTTCACCAGAGATTTTGCCATGCTGGCACTGCCTGGCTGCTCCAAGGTGATGCGTGGATGAGCAGGAGAGGCAGGGAATGTGGCAGGGGGAGACAGATGGACCCATGCAGCAGTGGGGTTCCAGCACATGGAGATTGAGACATGTGAGGCTCCTGCATCACCTACTGGAGTGCTGTCCTCCACAGCCAGCCCTGCTGGAGTGACCCAGCTCCGACCTGACGCCCCAGCCACAGAACTGAGCCCAGGGAGGGATACGTCCCGAGGTGGCCACTCAGGCCACTGACACTCTGAGATGCCCCACATCCAAATCCTCTCCTTTCCCCAGCCCACCCTCTCCCACTCACTACCCACACCAGGGTATCTACCCATCTGAGAGTCGTCCCCATGGACTGGGGATGTTACCACTCGGCCATCATGCATCCAGCCACTGCTTCCTGCCTGCCCCTCAGTGCCTCTGGGACCTGCCTGAGTGCAGGGACCCATCCCACCTTCTCCTCCAACCCCAGGCTATCACCTCCCTTGCCGTGCTTCAGCTTTCCCTGTCTGCAAAGCAGCTGCCCTCCCCACACTGCCCACTCCCTGCTTCTCCAACATGTCTGCCCAGCACCCGGGGACCCAGCCAATGAAGGACAAACAATGCAGTATACAAATATTGCATTTTTGCTTACCACCACTCCTCCCTGAGAAGCACATGGGCCCCAGGCCTCGCCCTCTCCTCAAGGGTTCATCTGAATAGCAAAAACGAGGGAGAGGTTTCTCCCCCGAGGAGCTGGGGCAGCCAGGCAGGGCACTGTTCTGGGAGGAGGTTCTGCCTCGGAGGGAAATCCTCAGCCTGTGTTGTGGCGTTGGTATGGCAAAGCTGCTTTGCAGACAGGAAACTGAGGCATACTGAGGTAGGTCAGCAGGGTGAGGCGAGAGCACATGTTTTTGGAGGAAAGCCTTTTCCTTCCTCCCCAAGAGGAGAGCCAGGTGAGGGGGAAGCCAATAGCGACTTATGCACTGCCTTTAACCTCCCCAGTTCTATGGATGTAGCTAAAGGTTGTTGGGAAAATCCTGTCCAAGGGCTTCACTGTTCCTCTTACCTTGTTTAGGTGGCCAACAAGGGGACCAATGCACTTGCCCTGCCAGTCCACTCAAAGCTCTCATTGCTGCCTGCTGCCCCACCTGTGACTGGCTCCCACTCACCCAGTGGCAGCAGAAGACCTCTAAATACACGACCCGACACTGCTTCAGGGGACCTCTTCAGAACTGAGGGTGACTCAGACCCTCCCTGGGGACATCTCTGTGCCACCACTGTCCTCACTACTGAGAACTTACCCTCTGAGGGTGATTTCATGAGCACGACGTAGCGCAGGGAAGCGGGAAACCTGCCAAAAGCCAAAGTGACGTGCACTGTGACCCCGAGAGCATCGGTGCAGGAGCCATGGGAAGGCTGGGGATGTGACAGACCACCCCAGTGCTGGAAGCCTGGTGAGGGCTGATTTTTGGAGCTTTTTCAAAGGCAGAGTGAAGGGTACAACATGAGCCTGGGGAAGCTGCCAGTGCTCAGCTGGGTGTCAGGCTCCCATGGCAAGCGGCGGCTGAAGTCGGAGCTGACGCCAGACATGATCAGCCCGCCGCTGGGTGACTTCCGGCACACCATGCACGTGGGGCGCGGCGGGGATGTCTTTGGGGACACCTCTTTCCTCAGCAGCCATGGTGGGGCCGACACAGCCAAACCCAACAACTTCTTCGCCCGGACACTGCGCCACGTCCGCCGCACACCGCTGAAGAGACGGGGCAGTGGGGGCCAGGCGGGGGCCTCACCTGCCCCCCCAGCCATATCACCCATCATCAAGAACGCCGTCTCGCTGCCACAGCTCAACGAGGGGATGTATGATGGTGCCAGCGGAGGCCGGGGTTTGACCAGCAAGTTCTCCTTCAAAAGTGCCTCCAACAGCTTCTCCAAAACACACCAGGCTTACGGTGAGTGAAGCTCAAGGCAGAGGCTGGCGCCCAGGTACTGAGCATCCTATGCATCCCTTCTCCATTGCTCCATGCCGCAGTTTCCTCTCCAATGAGGAACTTCAGGCTCTTGRGAGAGATGGCATATTTAAGACTGCCCAGTCTTGACAATCCCTGTGAGCAGATAATCCTAACCTTACTCTGAACCATGGTCCTTGTTCCTGCTCTTGGAGGGTCTCCTCCCAGGGTGTCCCTCAACATGGGGTAGGGTTGGTTTCTCCCTTTCTCCCTCTCTCCCATAGCCCTACACAGCTGGCAGCCCGTGTGGAGTAGTTGTAAGGGAGTGCACCCGATCTACCCCCAGCCCTACACCTTTCTCATGAACAGCCTCCCCGAGGAAGCCAAGAAGGTGCTGGGACAGTGGAGCAATTCCTACTCCAAGGTTATGAGGTCAAGGGAACCCATGGCACAGCTTTCCCCAACTCCACACAGATGCTCTTACCCTGTCCCTAGCTGTGCCAACCTCTACATCTCCACGTGCTGCTCCTCAGGGATTCCATCCACCCTTCTCCATTGTGTCTACATTTCTGCCTGCCAGCCAGGGTGCCCTTTAGGGAAAGGTTGTGGGAAGGACAGGGCAGGATAGCTGTGTGGCTCCTCTCCTCACAGCACTGCCCTGTGGCTCAGCTCGTCCCCAGCGAGGGAGGTCTGGAGCAGAAGGTCTCAGGGTGGGGGTTGGATCTGGGGGGGCTTCAACAGCCGGGAAGGTGGCTGGGCTCAGAGGGAAAGGCAGGCTGAGGCAATGCTGCCATCTCCTGGTCTCACCTGCCTGGCTCAGCCCCCACTGCCATCTTACCAAGCCCAGAGCCCACCCAGAGACCCTCTGCTGTAACTCTGGGCTGGAGATGTCCACAGAGACACTGACCTATCCTTTAGAGGCCAGTGTGGCACTGATGGGGCGTGACCTGAGCCACCTTGGCAGTAGTGTCCTTTATCCTCAGCAGAATTAAGTCAGGCTTCCTCCCGCCAAGCTGTTCCCTTGCCTCACCAGCCACACCTTCTGCCTCACAGGGCTGGAGTCCGGATTTTGCACCATCCCTCGTGTCCCTCGCTTGGAAAAGGGCCAAGAGAGCACCTTCCCCGGGGAAGATCAGCTGGATCGCTCCGACTCCCTGCTGTCATTCCGCCTAGACCTGGGGCCCTCCCTGATGAGTGAGCTACTCCAGGTGATGAGCTTCTCTGAAACCAATGGGAACGAGGTGGGGGAGGATGGCCCACACCTCCTGTGCGATGAGGGGACCAAGGACAGGGTTCCTCCACCAGTGGGTGCATCCCAGGAAGAGGACAAGGCAACATCCAGCTTCTGGGACCACTCCAGGCAGAACAACTTGTCGGGAGCCAGCTCACTGCCAGGTCTGTCGGTCCATGCCAATGGAGAGGCACATGCCATTGAAGGCGCTGGAGGGAACTCTGACAGGGCTTCCGGGCCAGGGGCAGCACCCAGAGGGTCCCTGTGGCAGGGGCACTGGAACGACTGCACCATTGAGGCAGGAGAATTTGACCGAGCAGCCCAGGTCCTGGCCCGCCATTACGGTGGGACTAGCACCCCACGCAGCTCGGAGAAGGGCGAGGGTCCCCAGCAGGTCCGAACACAGACCCTGTGGGAGAGCCCCAGCAGCAGCTTGTGGGGGTCACAAGTGACAAGGCAGAGCCGGTCCCCCGAGGCCAGCTGGAACCAAGGAGAGGAGGAGGTTGAGGAGACCAAGCTCTCCAGCCTGCAGGAAAGCTACAGTGATGCCCGAGGGGGCTGCAGCAATTCTTTCGAGTATGCTGATGAGGAGGAGGAAGAGGATGATGAAGTCAAGGTGTGAACGGCCATCCCTCCCATCACAAGCCCCTCCAGAGACACTGGTACCGGGATGTTTGCCCTCCTCCCTGTGCCCCACCCGCTGGTGCCTGTGTTACCAGCAGACCCAGTGGGTGATCTCCTCACCAAGTTGGGGCATTGGGTGGGCCAGAAAGGGGCAGGAAGAGAGCCCATCTCCTGGGGGTTTCCCTGGGGCTGGGCCAGGCTGCTGCAGAGGGCCAGGGGGCACTGCAGAGCCAGGCATAGCACCCCTTCTCCAGCCTCACAGCCATTAGACATCACAGGAACATTCCCATGTGCCAAAGGAACCCCAAATCCTTCCTACCCCATCCCATTCTCCCCAGAACCCTCTGTCTCAACCCTCAGCCTGGCCACACCAGCACATCTGGGGACACACCCCATCCTTCCACTGACATCCCCAGCCATCCTCTGCACTATTACACATGCCTGCCCAGAGATATTCCTACAGATAGCTCTGGCATGTAGGGGATGGGCATCTCCCCAACTCCAACTGGTGCAAGACCYTTTGGTATGGCCCATCTATCAACGGGGAGGATAGCTGGGGTCCCAAGGCAAACCCTACAGCACTGAGCTTTCTCTTCTCCCTTCCCCCCCCCCCCCAAAAAAAAGCTGTGTGTTCAGCATTCAGGAGGTAAGAGCATGCACAGAGACAATCAGGAATCTTTCCACTTGCCTCCTGCTGCTGGGTATCACTTAGGACAACTTCTTTCTTACCCCCACTCCTCTCAGCAATTGAGAGGGGAGAAACTTCTTGGCTAGCTGGTGGCAAAGGTAGGCTGTCAGGTCACCAAACTGTGGTTCAAGCCCTAAAAATCCCTTCTTTTTCCCCTGTCTCAGAAAAAGCAGACTCCTTTGCAGCCACTCAGTTTGTGTCACCATCCTCGTGATGATYGCACAGCGTTTGTGTCTCCATCCTTGCTCCTTGCTCCCCTCCCCGTTCCCCACACACATGACCCTCTTTCCAGTGCACCCCTTCCCAAGAGTAATGTACCATGGCTAATGTCCCTCGCTGAGTGGCCCTGGGTGACACAGCCACCCTGGAATGAGCTGCCCCCCACACTGCCCCGTGTGCAAACTGGCCCTCATAGAAGCGCCTTTGTGCCRTGGTGTGGAGCCGACATGCTCAGGGGCTGAGGTCACCAGAGGGACCCTCACAGGACCCCCCTTGTTCTCTGGGACAGGAGGGGGTGTGCAGTGGGGGCAGATGCTGGGCCATGGCTGCAAAGACTCTGCTCCCACACAGCTCACCCGCCACCCTGCTGCTTTTGCCCGGGAGCTCTTCAGAGCAGGAGAAAAAGCTCCAGGGTGTGCACATACTGCACATGGAAGTGCCAGGCCACCAAGGTTAAGGGCAAGCCCATGTTCCCCAGCCTCCCCAAAGGGCTGCCTCATGCCAGCCACCAGCAGCAAGCCAGAGCAGGCACCAGGAACAAGAAGTTCCCAGGTCTGGCTACTGGCACCCAGCAGGATCAGCCTTATCCTCCCTTGCACCTTCCAGGGTGGGGACCTGGGCTCTCAGGACRAGCTCCCCTCTGCCCTCTGCTTCCCAGACCGTAACATAAGACCAAAGACACATATCTGTGGAATTATCCTTTCTGCCTCTCCTCTGTATCCCATGCACTTATTATTGTCCTTATTAAAACAGTTTTGATACTAACTTCTCTGGTGTATCCCTTTGTCTGCTGTGACCTTACTGCCTTCCTTGCTATGATGTCTGTTGGAGCCCCATCCACCAATCCCTCTATCTTGGGCAGCAAGGGAGTGGGAGGGCAAGGGCATTTCCACCTTGCCTCGGACCAGGCTCTCTGTAAGATGCTCTTCTATTTTGCTCTCCTCTTACCCAGCCTCAAGTGCCCCAATGTTGCGGTCATACATCAGTCTCACTTTAGGCTGGTGAGATACTTTTCAATTAGACCAGCAGCATGCAATAATCAGGACTATTTGCCTGTAGTCATGTGCAAGGAGGCACTGAGGCACATAACTCAGTCCAAATCCCACTGCCTCCTCTGCCTCACTTTCGCTGAGTAAGATCCACTGTGGAAATATCAGAGTAATGTCTAACCTGACTGGAATRTGCTAGCAGATAACTGAGGTGAGGTAAATGGGAAAGTTGCAGACAATCCTTTTTCTATGGCAGGAATGCTGGCTGGGGGCACACCTCTGCTGCCTTTCCCATGSCCCCTAAAGTTTGATTATGCACTTCTGTGGCTCCAAATGCCACATCAAATGCCACTTCATTTACATTTATGTCTTACTTCCCATTCCTCCATTCCTCATTCTCAAAAGCTTGGGTGCAAGAAAAAACTGAGTACTGTGAAAAGATTACACAACCATTTCCTTAGCAATCATATAATGTCCTCATCCGGAACCCCACCTAAACCATCTTCTGGCCTACCTGCTATCCCTTCAACCCCACTGCCTGCTCTGACCTGGAAAGTGCCTGGCATTATCCAACAATGGCTTCTTTCCTATTGGTGGGAGAACCTTGGGCTGTGTCAGTGGCTTGCACAGAGCCACAGAGCTCTCACAGAAGACAAAGTAGCTGTAACATGCAATCTTCCACTGGCTTGGGTTTTTATTAGAGCTAGAAAGCAGGGACCATCAGATCAGCTTGAAGGAGATTATTTTGAAGCCTCCCAAGATGCTCATGTAATTGATCTTGCAGTAGCCGTGTCGGATGGGAAAGTACACTTCATGCCCATCTGGCAGTTTCACACGGAATTTGTCTGACAGCATTTCAATGAAGAACTGGGAGAAAAAAGAAGAGGAAAGAGGGCAAGACTTGGGACCTGCTATTCAGARGTCAGCATCCAGGCAAAAAGCCTGAGTTACATGAAAGGGTCGGACTTGCCCACTACAATCTTAAGCAAAGTGCTGGGGGTTGAGGTGAGTGTGATTCAGGAAAYGAGCAGTTGATATCAAGGGTCTAAGTAGGAATACAGGCTGTGACTGGGGACAGGATCTCTCCTGAGGCGGTTTCAGCTACTCAGATTGTAAACTCAGAGCAGCTAAACCCAAGTATGTCTTTATACATCGTATGGAATGTATAAATCACTGTTCTGCCCTGATTCCCCAATGCCCTCAGCAGCTCACCAGGACTCAGAAAAAGGTGCTTTGCTGATAAACGTGCATGAGCAAATAGGACAAAAATACATCATTGATCATTGTGAACTGAAAGGAATGTTCCCCAAAGCCATCACCTCATCACCCTTTCCCCAAGAGTCAGTCATGTCTGAGGAAACAAGCTTTCTCTCTACAGCTATAGGAACTGGACTGCTAAATGTAGCCCTGTTAATGATTTGGGATATCAGATGAGGTGAGGAGCAATTAGGACAGCATCCCTGGCAGGAAGAGAGAAAGGACMGATTAACAGCGTGGATCCAGGAGTAATGAGGACAGAAGAAGGTTTTTGGACATTGCTTTAAACTCTAGGTTGCCTTAAAGCCTGTGTTTACATGGGAGGGAAGGAGACTCCCTTTACTTTCATATATGCCCCAGGTATACTCATCAGGGGGCCAGGAAGTACTCACAAAGTGTGAGACAGACAGGACTCACATAAAGTTCCCAGCACTGGGGTTTTGAAACAGGAGTGGAAATGGCAATCAGSACCAAAAACCCAGAGGATGTGGGGCCATTGTGGGGGAGCAGGAAGTATTGAGTGGGACTGAGAAAACTATAGTATGGTAATCTGCCAACCAGGGGCTTCCTCTCACAACCATATCCCATACCACTCACACCACACATACCTCATAACACCATGTTGGCACAGACCACTCACCTTGACAGTGCAGCCCCTGAAGAAAGGGAGGTGGTGGTCACGATGCTCTGTCTGCCAGGCATCAGAGCACTTGGAGTTACAGACAATGACAGACTCATTGAAGCGGGGATTAAAGTGAAATGCCAGATCTTTCGAGCTGCAGCCCAGATTGATGCTGAAGCTGTAAATGAGTGTGAGGAAAGTCATATGCATGGACAGGAGAGGGTCTTGGAAGACTCGAGATCTGACACACGTCTCTGCACCCAATTCCTCCATCGGTGTTGTGGGTGGCATAACAATGTGTTATTTTGTATCTGGCAACCTTGGAAAATCACCTCCCTCTAGAGCCCACCTTCAACCCCGGCAAGTCAAGATGAATCCTTTGGTACTTACCCAACAGTATCAGCAGATATTTTGCCCTTCACCTTCAGGGTAYTCCCAGGCTTCATATCGAGATTTAGGATTTCAATATTTCCCTATGGCAGAGAAAAATAGTCATTGGGGGTTCTTCAGCCATTCCTCCTGACTTGCCACTGCAAGTGARAGGGGTCTGCTTGGAGGTGTCCCATCCAGCAGAACATCTGCTGCTCTCAGCTGGTGTTCCTTTCATGACAAAACCCTCCACACTGCAGGTCTTGCATGAGCTTCTCGTTCATGAGAGACTTGTTGGCTGAGCGAAGCCAGCAAGAGGGAAGAGATGTCAGAGAGAGGAAATGAAAAGAGTGCTCAGCAGAAGAAAAAGAAGTAGGACAGCAGTGATGCAAAGAGGGTTAAAGCAGAGGGGCACTATCCAGGTTTCGGTGGAAAGCTGATGCTGCCCAAAAAGTGCAAGTGGTGAGAATGGCTGTGACTTATGCCCGTCTCTCACTCAGCCTCACTGAGCTGAGAATCCTGTGTGACAGAGGACAGGAGCAGCAGCCCTTACACGCATTTTCTTCAGAGGGCAGAGTAACCAGGCAGGGAGACACCAGCAGTTTAGCTCAGAAATGCTTTGCACAGAAGACCTTCTAGTCCTARACTTCCCTGTTGCTTACACATTAACATGACCCCTGCCTCTACAAAGCTCCTATGGGTGCTATTAAGTCAGAAGACTTTTACCCAATGAGAAAACTTCCATATGTTCACTTCTCTCTAGGGATTCCAGGAATTATAAACAAGTCCCAGTCTTCTTGGTGGGGTGCCAGTACAATGACTACCACACACAGCCCTTAGGGACTTCAGACATCACATAGGACAAACACCTTTGCAGCTGGCCATGAAGGTGTGACCACCATGTTCACTACTCTCCAGTGTGTAACAGCTCAGACAAAAGGACATCCCAGGCCCTTCCTTTTGTGACAAGGGACAGCTCCAAAATCCACACCTGCACACCACYATCCTTCCACACAGTGCTCTGAGGAAGGGCTCAAAGGGGCTTTCAGGAGAGGACAACCAATACATCCCCTCTTGATGGCATGAGCTACAACAGTCCTTTTCAGGAGTGACATAGTGGCATCTAAGCTCCTTCCCTTCTTGTGGCTCTAGACTCAACCCCAGCTGTGTGGATTGCAATAGCAATATGTGGGAACTCTCTGCAACCTCCCATCCAAGCCCCATCTAGACCCAAACTTTATAGTTTGAGGAGCCACACGCATCAAGTTCCATAGTCCCATCCTCCCTAACCTCAGAAAAGGGAATGTCATCCTCACAGTAGAGCATCACCCCTGCTGTCTTCCTCCCAGGTAAGAGCTACGATACAAGTCAGTAGACAGTGTCCCTCATGTGTAAGGCTCCAAAAATCAGGAAAAGAGAGAAAGAGGAGGAGGTCAAGGATCAGGAGACCAATAGTCCCTCAGCCTCCCTGCCAAGCCCTGCAGAGAGCACCTGAGTGCAGGCATCCTGCTGCTGCACAGGCAGCTAGGAGACAGCTTCTGCCATTCCCTAAAACATCATGAAGATACGAGAAGTGAGTGCAGAAAAGCACTCCTTCCCTGGAGGTGTTTCCCATGAGMAAGGGGTCATAAAGTCCAGCAGGCTTGCGAAACATTTTTGCTGTTGGTGAAGCCTCCCTGGGCTGAACTTGGAACCAGCAAGAGCCAGTGCTGGGGATGGTGTTTTCTGGCATTGGGTCTCTTTCCCACCATGCTGCTGTGTCCACGGCACACCTCTACATACCTTCATATCACACTGTTCCCCCACAGCCATCCCACGGCTAATACAAGAAGAATACCCTAGAAGCCAGGGTCCCCTTCTTAAAGTATTAGAGCAAAACTGAATGGCTGGCTAAATTGCACTGTAACTCACTTTTCATCTAGGCAGTAAGGATTTACTGTCTGGAGGGTATCCTGTGTATTCCACAGTCTTAGTAAAAATACGCATGAGAAGGGGGACTTCTACGGATTTAGGCAAAAGCAAACAAGTAGTGATTGTTTATTTTCAYTAAGTATAAACATATTAAACCAAGGCATATCTTTCCAACACCGTTTATAAATCCCACACTTGTTAACCTTCATTACCTGGTTAAATTTGTAAACAAAACTTACAGACATATACACAAATTAAAAAAATGCAAAACATTGTGCACACAAAAGCTAAAAATCCCTGTGGATGCTCAGAGTTGGAATAGGAGAATCTTCAGCTCTAGGTGCAGTTTCTAACTGGTTACCTATAACCTGGAAAAACCATAAAATGGAATCGCTCAGTCTCTGTCTAATCAGTGCACAGTGGGTTAATAGGAGGGCATTATCCATGTGATAATAATTTGATGAACTTTTCCAGAACTATCTTTCACTTCCCAAGCGTAACACAGAAAACTTTCATTTTGTCACCATCCTGTCAATACCTGCAGCAGTGGATATTGTTAATCTAATCAAATCTTGCTTTAGAGTTTGGCTTTGCTGCACTGGTATAAATTTGACAGACTCACCAGAGGTTGCTCCAACCTATCCCATATGGTACCCATAATTCCCTATTTCCTGGGCRAATTCATACCAGGTAGGTATGTGAATTTGGTCTCTAGGTGGTTGTGCCATTGCTGCAGTAATATTCATGGTACCATCCATTTATATGTGATCGTAGGCATTAGACACAAACATTTTCAGATTATCTGGAATGYCATGAAGGGGAGGAGTTAATCTGGCTGCATTGATGGGAGCTACCATAAGGAATCGCTTTAATTGATGTCTTTCATACATTGCTTAAATACATGCTGCCTTTTGCACAGAGCTGCTACATCTGAGAATCCTGTCATTTTAAACAGTAGTAGGCTTTCTTCCGTCCTGTGGGTCTATGCTCCCAGCCCTGTAAGTCGGTCAGATAGTCAATGCATATTTATAGTTACTGGGGGTACTAGTTGAAAATACTCTATGTCCCCAAAATCTTTCTGCCTCTTCCTCACTCAGCAAGATCTGATCTCTGCTCATAGGGGAAACTTGTACTCAGTTCCTGATTCCCCTGAACATCTAGAATGTTCTTCCTGCAATGGACCTTACTCTGTGAGGAACAGTAATGTGGTTTTCTCTGCCTGTCTCACCAGCAGTTTCAGTTTCACTTAAAGGCAGAACTTTTACTGCTTTTGGGGTAGGGTCAGAGTCTTCCTCTAAATCATCAACATTGTACCAAATGTCTCCATCCCACATTTCAGGATCCTCACAATATACCACCCTATGGATGTGCTGGACTGAATTAGAGAATGATTCATGCAGGATTTTATCAAGTAATTTACCTCGATTTTTCTGCATCTGTTTTTCTCATCTTTCAGCTGCAGACTATAGTTTTTCTAYTTGCTTATTTTTATTTAAAATAATATCTATTAGTTTTTACAACTTCTCCTGTGTCTCTTTCTCAAAAGATAATGCTGTTATAAGAACCTTGTTTTCTRACTTCAAAGTCATATATTCTACATTTACAATCCTTTTAGGTGGCAGGATGCTTTTGATTTCCTTTTGCACATATGATAAACAAGCTCCCAAAACTGCACAAATAACTTACCTTTAATGGGCAACTTACCTTTTCCTTATCCCATTTTTCGTTCAGCCTGCAAACTAGTAATGTGATCAACTATTGTCTGTACATTACCACAATTAATTTGTGCCCATTCTAACCCTGGAGGAAAGGGATGATTATCAAACTTCTCCAGGAGAGAATAAAACATTAGCCTTATTTATGCTGGTCACTCTTGGTAACCATTTTTCCTTGGGTCACCCTCAGAGGGAGACAACCTGGGAGTAAGCAGTCGCCTGCAGAGTAAAAGTTTGGTCAATCTCCCTCAGAGGAAGACAGTGCAGTGGGAAGAACAGTGAAAGTTCAGAACTGTTAAATGGTACTTCAGGTGAGAGAATGGTGATGCCAATTAAATTGTTATGATTTCCTATTAAAGTCCTCTGCCCAAATTAAGGTGCAAAGGAGACTAAAGGCCAGTTCAACAAGGCTGACTTTATTTTACAAAATTAATTTTATATGGAAAAAAAGAAAGGGAGAGAGAAAGAGAGAGAAGGGGAGAAGGAGAGAGATAGTGCGAATAGAAGATAGTCACCGCCATGGATCCAGCACCGTCCTGTTGGTCCTTCAATGCCTYGGGTGTCTTGATGGTGGGGTCTCAACTGGTTCATTTTATTTCCTGAGTAATTTTTATGCAGTCTCCTATTTGGGTAAAAAGCAGAAGTAGAAGTGACTTCCAATTCCTCATCAGCATGTGAGGCAAGAGCAGCATAGTTCCACCATCGTACATGCTCAGATGGTCAGCAGGGGTCTGTTCTGGAGGTTGTGTAAGACAAGTACCTCAAAAACCAAGTGTCCTATTTGTGACCCCACTTCTTGCACTTGGACAGTTATTCACTTGTTATACAACACACTGTAGTTGAACCTTGACCTGAACTGCAAAGCCAAAACTGAAACCTTGCTTCCTTCATGGTTTGTGCATATGCACTCATGACCTTCTTTCTGCAAGTTCACAAGCCCGTGTTTAAAGCGTACACTGAAAATTATTAGCTCTTTCCTTACAGCAGCCTGGGAAGGAGAGCAGCATGTGTYTCTTACTGTGTCCAGTCCTGTGCTCCTCAGTAGTACAAGGGAGACAGTGGAGCTCCTGGAGCAGGTCCAGCAGAGGGCTATGGAGATGGTTAAGGGACTGGACATCTCTTATGAGGAACGTCTGAGGGAGTTGGGCCTGTTCAGCCTTGAGAAGAGACAACTGAGAGGGGACCTCASCAATGTCTATCAATATCTGAAGGGATTGTGACAAGAGGTTGGAGCCAGGCTCATCTCAGTGGGCCCAAGCAATAGGACAAGAGGCAAAGGGCAGAAACTGATGCACAGGAAGTTCCASCTGAACATGAGGATGAACTTCTGTACTGCACAGTGCCCACACACTGGAACAGATTGCCCAGGGAGATTGTAGAGTTTCCCTCACTAGAGATATTTAAGAACCATCAGGAAGCAATCCTGTGCAATGTGCTTTGGGACAATCCTGCTTGAGCAGGGAGGTTGGGCCAGATGACTCCCTGCCCTTCCAACTTGACCCATTTTGTGTTCTGAGGCATGAATAAAACCACCTGCGCAGAGAGTTGAGTGCAGAGCCACAAGTACCAGGATGTGTGAATATACAGAGAGGGAGACAAGCAGGAAAGAGGTGTGAGCTGCTCTGAGAGGGGCGATGAGATTTTAWCAAGATAACATTTACCCCCTCCTACAATGTTCAGCAGGGACGTTCAACCCCTTTTTATTTGCCACAGGGAACAATAGTGGGAAACCAGGCAGCTACTCTGCCAGCACTGGTGACTTCCTTTGTCCTCAGAGCTGAGCCTCCATATATCAGACACCAGCCCTTTGCAGATGGCCTCCCTCATGCAGGGGTATGTGCTCCCCACATAGGAAGGGGATGAGAGTTTAGGGACCCCAGAAGACTCAAAATTCTCCACTGCAGTTGGAGGTGGTGATTGGGATGATGAAAGGAGGGTGACAGGGGCAGGTTGATACTTCCCTGCTGACACTGCAAAGCAGAAAGCCTGGGGAAACAATGATAGCATGGGAATGTAAATCCCAAAGAAAGAGGAAATCCGGCTAAAGAGCATCTGCAAAAGAGGTGGAGGATCTGTGCAGTAAGGAAAACATAAACAATAGCTGTGGAAGCTGGCAGCCACTGGTGCAAAGGATCCAGCAACCCTTCACCCCCCAGAGAGATGATCCTATAATAGGGTATCCAACTGGGAGCGCCCCTCCAGGGCCCCAGAGATATTTATCCTGGCCAGAGGGCAGTTGGTTTGTAATGGTGTGAGACACCCACATTCACATCACTGTCASCGGAGGAGCATTTGCTACATTCCCAGAGGGACAGCAAAAACCCAACAAGTTTTCCCACTTCCCAGCCAAGGTAGACTCAGCAATTAGAGAATTCTCAGGGCCTTTTGTGGGAGGGGAAGCCCCCAAAATCCACACCAGCACACCAAAATGGTCTCTACCATCTCTCCCAACAGCATTCTGAGGTAGGGCTGCAAGGGGCTCAGAGGAGAGGGTAGCCTACTAGCATTCTCTCTAGACAACATGAGYTATGAACAGTACCCTGCAGGATTGACATGGGTCGTCACCACAGATAATAGTCAATCCAGAAGGCATGAGGAAGATAGAGAAAGGCAAGGCAGCCATGCTAGGTGCATGGATGCATGTGTCACTGTCCCCACATCAAACCAAGCTCTGCAAGAAGAGGGGAGAGATCCCTTTAGCACCCTCATGGAAGGCTTGGTGCTAACTAGGTACCAAAGAAGTGGCACTGGAGCATGACGCTGCAGAGGGAATAAGGTGCCTGTCCCATAATGCACTCCAAGCACCATGGAGCCTTGGACCAGATATCAGTGTCKGCTCAAGGCAAAAGGAGCTGGAGAGACAAACCATGCATTCTTTCTCAGGGTAGCAGCGGCTTACTCTGCTATTATTTCCTACTGCTTCATATAATTTGTACTCCACAGCAAGCTATTGTCCCCTTCCACTGGCTATTTATTTCCTTGAATAGACTCTGGGGAAAGATTTCGGTGTGGTAGTAAAGAAAAAAGAAAAACTCCACACAATAAATCTCAAGCAGTGACCTGATTTAAACTGTGTTCTCTGACCTCATATGGGTCCTGGTCACAGTTCCTCACTGCCGTTGTGATTAAGTCTCATTTCTGCTTTGGTTTCCTCCCTTCATTAAGCGTAGGGGAGAATGACCCCTGCCTTAGAGGGCAGTGGGGTGGATTTTCAGAGGCCAGGACTCAGGATATTACTGAGAAGCTTCCACCACCTCCTAATGGAAATGCTCAATCTTTCACCTGCTAGTACAGAAATTACTGAATAGGACTGGTTTAGTCAAGAGATGTTGGTTGGTCTCTCACCAGACAGTGCTGCAACCTTCACCCAACCGATCCCTGTCCTCTGAAAGCCAGCCAGCTTCCTAACAGAGGAGGAGCAACAGAACGAAGTGTATGTACCTCAGCCAAACACTGAGGTAAGCAAGAGACTGGGTAAGCAGGTCTGTGGATCTGAAGGGTGTGTACAGGAGAGGATTGTTGAGGAGATGGAGGAGAAGCCAAAGCAAGGATGAGCACAATGAAACTAGTGCTCAGAAGCACTAAGCTCCTGCTTAAGATGTCACTCAGAGTGGGATGGCTCCTCCAGAGAAAGCACTGAAGTCTCCACATTCAGTTCAAGTAAAATGGGRAGGGATAAAAGACTGGAGGCTAATCTCTTGTCACCCCTCCTGCCCCAACTCCTTCACAGTGCATCACACAGAGCACCTGTGAGAGGTATGGAAGTAGCATCCACGATCTCAACCTGAAGGCGAGACATTAGATGCCATCAGAATCCAGTATACTCTCCAAGAACATCAACCCTCTTCAGCTGTAGGGTGCAATTTCTGTTCCTCAGGATGTGGGGGAAAAGGAGGAGGAAGGACAAAGATAGCTGAAGAACTAAAATGTGGAGGGAAACCCATGCCTTTCTTCAGGGCTAGGGGCAGCAGWGAAAGAGGGAATCTACATCAATCAGTGCAGAAGATCAAGAGCACARGGAACAAGTACAGCCTCAGACTCCATCTCTCGGCCTCCTCTATCAGAAGGGTGGTGGTGCCACAGTGACTAGCATTTCCCATCTCCATGGGGAGCTCAAATGTGTTCTGATGGTTGGTTTCTATCCCCATAGCCAAGTTATGTCCTTGTACCTGTGTAGGGGATGTCTCTCTCAGGCAGCTCTGAAGTCTGTGGAAAGATTTTCACATGGTCCAAGCTTTGCACAGGGAAGGGAAGAAAGGTGGTTCATTTGCAAGGAAGCTTGTTTGTAAGCRGTCATTTTATTAACCCAAGCAGCCAGATGAGTCATCTCTCCTGGGTCCCCAGCTTGGCTGAGGGGCAGGAGAATGAACTCAACTGGTAGAGGGTGGAGAACGAGGTCAGAGGACTGATGATATGCCACCCAGTTCCACTTCCAGACTTCATTTCTCTAATTCTTTCACTCATGGGTGCATGCCAGGAATGCGGGTTGTGGGAAAGGCTTTCAAAAACACGCCTGCAGATAAAAATTCACTTGTGTTGAAAGTTTCCCTACTGGAAAAGAGAAGGCTCATAGCTTCCCCCTTTCTGGGACTTCTGGGATCTCCCAGCTTTACCCACATCTTCTGGATGAGATATTATTAGCTTAATGGGAAAAGGATCTTTCAACAAGCGCTCCACAAAGGATCAGCTTYATGAGGTCTTATGGACCACTTGCATCTTACATCAAAAGATTAACATCTCCAACAGTTTTATCTTATCATTGAGCAAGGAAGAGGTGGCTCCCTCATCTTGCACGTGAGGAAATTAAGGCACAGACACTTAAGTTCACATCCAAAACCAATTCCTCCTGTTTGGATTCTCATCCTAAAGTTTCCATGGCCACAAAATCAAATCAAATCAAATCAAATCACCTTGCAAACCTGTTCAAGAAGCTAAAAGGAAGTGTGCTCCCTAGCTGATACAGATATAGTACTAAAGATGCTGATCTCTCATCACACCATCTACTATCAGCAGGAGTACCAAACCATTCAGTGCCTCTAGAAAAAAATCATCCCCTGGGTGGGTCCAATTAAGTCTGAAAACTAGAGGCATTCAAAGAACAGAAGCCTTCCTGCAGTGGAAGCCATGGGACTTCCAAGATGCCCCAAGTCCAACTTCACTGACTTCAAGGGGATCATTTCCCACAACAGAGACAGCATGAGACCAGCTGGCTGGAACTAGAATAAGCAAAAAAGAAATGCAGCATTGCACCATACACAAAAGGTCCTTGGGAATTCCCTTCAAAAAGTTCTGAGTAGCCATCCTGGATTCAACCCCACACACAGCAAAGGCACAAAGTGAGAGTGACTGCTGAGTCTCCACCCTGCACAGGGACAATGAGACTGCAGGACTTGCTTTTGGTGTGTTTCTCACAGGTTCCAGCGCTGAGCCCAGGCAGGTTGGACAACTCTGAGGACTTGCAGGAATCTTTCAGACAAGCAGAATYCATCTGAGTCACACGCACGTGGCACAATGCCAAGGGTGGCTCATCCACTGGAAAAAAAAAAAAGGAGAGAGAAAGAAATGCTAAGGGAGAAATAGCAAGTTTTGAAAAGCCACAAGAATTAGCAGCTCATAGGGTGAAAAGAAGGACAGTCAAAAAAAAGGGTCTGTTCTTCTGTGCTCATGTCACTAACGCCAAGTATATTCCATCCCTACTAGGAAGCAGCAAGCCACCTTACCACACATCAGCTTTGAGAGCATCTGAAGGGGTAACCCACCCTGGATGTAAGGCCACGACTGAGGTCTGCAGAGGAAGGGGTTGTCAAGTCAAAACTRTCTGTTGCTGCAAAATCAAGTCAAACAAACTCTCTTTGATGGCACTGCAAWATGAAACAGTAAAAACCAAACCAGATAAAAATGGGAAAGAAAAGCTGCCAAAAAAAGGGAATCCAAATCCCCAAATGACTGACTCAGTGCAGGAAATGGGCATCTAAAGAGGGAATTGCAGGCGTCTGAAAACCTAAGAAAAGATCAGGCCCACACAAACGACTCTTTGACTCTTCATATTCCTCTCCTCCCACTTTCCAGGGGGAAGGGCACCAAAAATACCTGAAGCCATGGACCTTCCAAGTGAGACACAGGGAAAGGATTGAGCCATGGCACTGTCCAGAGATGTTTCATCTCCACAGGTAATACAGGGAGCAGGGCAGCAGCTGTTTTGCACTGATGGAACACCTAGTCTCCCTTTCCACCACTACACTGGGCACTAAGGGACACCCTGTCCCATGCAGGCATCTCTGTCCCATGAGCCTGCACTCTTGTTTCTGACCCATGTAGCCAGTAGTACATAAGCCCTCACTTCAGCACAGTGGGTGTTTATTTTGCATTCTCASCACTCATGCCAAGCTCTTTGTTCTCTCTGGCTCTCTTTCCCTCCCTTCCAGTTTGTGCCTTTTCCTGCTGTCCTTTTCTTCCTCACCACTGGCAACTTGCAGGGGCCAGAATTTGGCTGGGTCTCTCTAGCCGCCCCCAGGTTTCTCTGTGCTGCTCCTCTCCTGGAGAGCCCCCAGCAGCAAAACAAACACAAGGCTTTAATTGCAGTCATATTCCTGGACAGAGGATGCTTGCATCAGAAAGGGGACAAGAGTATTCAAAACTAAATTCTTTCAATACGACTCACCCCAGACTAATCTTATCATATCCCAGGCTGAATAGCCTCAAACACAGTTGCCAGCAAACAGACTCAAACAGACTTCCCAAGCTAGGAGATCTGATAAGGACAATGTGAGGAGGACAGGTRGCTGCAACTGCCAGGCGAGTTCCCATCTGCACACAGATAGCTTATCTCTTCTGTCAAGATGGGACACACATCCATGTCTGCTACACAATAGCAGGGAAAAGCTAGTGGAGACCTGTTCTATGGTCCTGAACATGCACGTAGCACTGCTTACAACACCATCCCCAAGGAACACATCTATTTTTCACTCGGCCTCATTAGGAAAGGGGTGGGAATCTCATCTGAACAGTTCTGTCAGAGACACAGCTTCCCTGAGACCTGGCTTAGGATGAGCTGGAGAGTGCCTTGCACTAGCTGTGGACACCAGCAGAAGAAACACAGTGGCCAGAGGGAAGAAGTCTCATAGCCTACTCTTGAACCATACTGCAACACCACAGCTTTTAACCCTATCAAAAGCCAGCGCACATCCTTCCCCTGAAATTCAATCAGAGCACTGCTGCTGGGAAGCAGGCTACTTTTGATGCAAAGTTGCTCTGTTTGAGGAGGAACAGCCTGTGTGGAAAGAGGAACAGCCTCTGCTAGGAGTATCTCCCCCCGTCCAAGACAACAGGGCTTGGGCTGCAAATCAGGGAACAGAAAAAGCACAAAATGGTTGCGGCAAGATCCAGA